ACCAGGGGAGACTCCTAGACCCCACTGGACAATGTTGTCACAATTGCGCTTTTCAATTGAAAACAGACATCATCTTTAAAGACATTTGTCATCTTTAAAGACTTTGCACGCCATTTTTCGAGCCGCTCTTTCATTTGAGCCAAAAAAAACATTCATATCTTGTCTGACATCTCTATTACAAACTCTGGTCCTTATAATCTCTGCTCTGGTCATCAACTCTGGTTTTCAGTTGAAATTGGAATTGTTAATTTACACAGTAATAGGATTGCATTGACGATTTTTTCTTAACTCGCAAAAATCTGCAAACAATTTGCTACCGATTGGTGATAAAATTTTNCTCTAAAGATGGTTTTGCACCAGGGGAGACTCCTAGACCCCACTGGACAATGTTGTCACAATTGCGCTTTTCAATTGAAAACAGACATCATCTTTAAAGACATTTGTCATCTTTAAAGACTTTGCACGCCATTTTTCGAGCCGCTCTTTCATTTGAGCCAAAAAAAACATTCATATCTTGTCTGACATCTCTATTACAAACTCTGGTCCTTATAATCTCTGCTCTGGTCATCAACTCTGGTTTTCAGTTGAAATTGGAATTGTTAATTTACACAGTAATAGGATTGCATTGACGATTTTTTCTTAACTCGCAAAAATCTGCAAACAATTTGCTATCGATTGGTGATAAAATTTTTTCGAAATAATGAAATAGAGGGGATAACGCCTTTTTTTTCAGAGGTGATTTATCAAAAATTTATTTTAAAAAAAGTACTCACTAGCAAATGTTTTTTATTAGCTCGCCATTTTCTTCAAAACTACTTCAATGAGGAAAAAAATAAACATTTGGAATATCTATCCATGAGGGGCTAATTGATCGGATCTCTATTCTGTGACTTTCTGAGCGATTTCCTATGAATTATTGCACGGAAATAGAACGAAATGAGAGTCGTATTGATTGATGTAATAAAGTATTCAGTCATAATAGTATATTTCGATACAAGTCCGGAAAAGTGTTTTTTGGCTCGTGGAGGGTTTATAGCACGAGCTGAAGGCGAGTGATGTAATCCCATGAGCCGGAAAACACTTTTCCCACGAGTATCGAACGATTTTTTTCATCACAATGCGTGGGAAAGGGACTTTTAGGCACGCACAGCGTGCCTGAAAAGTCACTTTTCCGCACAGCGTGATGAAAAAATTATTTTCGTTTCTGGATAAACCAAATTCTCAGCGCCAAATTCTAGTGCGACAAATTCTAGTGCGACAAACCAAATTCTAGTGCGACAAATAAATGGTACTTAAATTTTAAAGAAGTTCTCTTCCTCCCAATCACACGTATCACAAAAGGAGATAACCGGTCTTCACTATAAAAACACATTAATCTGAATTTTCGGTTATGCTTAGATTGAAAGCATTGCAGTTTATAGTGTACGTGACTTATCATGGACTGAAGAATAAGTTGATAGTTATTATAACACTCGGCAAATAGAAAATCTTTATTATCAGCAAGGGACATCACCAAATCGTTAGAGTAGGATCAACTTGATCACAAATTGTTTGTCGGTGTTGGCCATTATGGATTTTCAATTCCTTACGAGTTTATCTCATTGAATTGAAAAGAGTGAAGAAAGACATGACAGTTCTCATGGCCTTTCGGTGAACAAAAAAAAAACTTATAGTTGTAACTTATAAATATATAAATTTTTCAGAGGATCGAATATATTACTTACCGCTCCGAATCCTTGCATCGACATGATATAGAGTTTTCCAGCTGTCAATTGACATGGTTTTAAACTTCTCATCATGATAGAAAGAAGCATCAACTGCGATCGACTGGAGAAGCGATACCATTCACTCTGGTAACTATCAATTTAAAAAAATCACATTCAAGAGTTCAGGATTTTCTACAGTTATTCAAATAATGAAATGGTCATACTGACACTGCATCAAGAACACGTTCGTTTTGAACAATAAGGGCATGTCCTAACCAACTGGAGTAGAATAAATGAATGATTAGGTCAGCAGTAATGCAGACCATTCTAATTGATTCACTTGGTTCAGAATTTTTAATCATAGCCTCCGAGAATACATAAGAAGTTTTAATTTGGCCAATCAAAAAGATGAAACCTATTTGCATACTCACTACAGTACCAGCCACTACTATCAACCCTATATTAATTCCCACCGTGAATAGAAGAGCAACACAATAAGAAGATTCCAAACAATCAACGAATCTGTCATCCCAAATGTTGACCGTTACTGTTTCATGCATCAGCAGTGAACGAAGATTTTTAGAAACTCACTCTAACGTCTGTGTTTGTAAATCAGAGCAGATCCTTATACGATTCTTAATGAAATAGAAATCGGCCAATGATGTTTCTTCAATTAATATTGTTCCGTCTAAATGTAGTGATTCTAGATGCGCTCTGAAAGAAATAATAGTGAAAATTTGATTTCCTACAGGCCTGAATGTGTAGCAAATTCAACTTACTTCAGGATTTCAAACTTTCCACATGCATGGCAAACACAAATTGCAAAGAAATTCTCGAAAAAGACTATGCACGCCGTATTTATAATACTGCTGATGTAGGCGTGAAACAATATATATGTATAGTACTTTTCATGATCGATGAAATATTCTGTCTGAGACAGAAATAATCGGGGACGAGTCTCATTTAATGGATAGAAAATATCCAATATCTTTGGAATTGCTGGTGTGCAAAAATATAGCAGAAGATTCCCGTAGATAAATGCTGTTCAATTGATACCGAAAAATAAAACGGACGTCATAATAATAGACTATGTTGCAATGATCAGATGTTGCACGATGTTTTTGTTAACTAATCCCCAATAGTCCAAGAATATTAGGAAAGTCGATTGCATCAAACTCTGTTAGTGAAATAGATCCGGATTGGGGTGGGGCTCATAAATATATAGCATTTCAATGTTTTCAGGGTACAATAGAGTGCAGTACAGTGGACTTTTCTTTACTCTACCATTCCATAATTCACATTCTATTCCCCTCGAGGCCTGCTTCTCCTCAAAATCCTCCCCCCACTTCTCATTCATCATTTATTCTTATCTGACGTCATGCGTTGCGGAGTGCGTTAAGTCGGAAGGGTGAGATAATAAGAATGGAATCGTAGGGGTGGAATCTTGAGGGTAAAATTTAAAGGGTGTAATCGTAAAAATATACTGGTGACATTCTAGGGATTGAAGTCACATGTTATTCGCTAATTATCACGAAAAAAATATAAATGGTAAAAATATAATTCACGATTGATACTTTTGAATTTTGTTCTCTGTGTACTACTCTTACAGAGCCTTTATGACTCTTGCACAGAACTAATACATTTCATTTTCTTTTCACATTTAATCACACGTAAGCTCTACCGATCACGTAATTTTTCCGTAATTTCAGGTTTCCCAAATTCTCATGAACAGTCTCAGAGCTATTCAACTCTGAAAATGGTTCATTATGCCCCACCTTTCCTTACTTGCAAATGCTACACTCAATTTTCGTCCTCTTTCGGAATGCTGCTGCAGTAATTCAATATCACGTTGATCTATCAAACTTTGCCAATCTCTTTTAATGGTCAAAAGTAGTTGAATCATCTAAAATATCCATGGAAAAACGATTCTGATTCAAGGGGTTCAGCGTGATCCACAAAAAAACAGTAATTACAATGTCCTCCAGAATTGTCCAGTTGAAAAACTTCGTGAAAGCTAATGCTATTAATCCGATAATAAATAGGACTTCAGTGACAACATCTATATCATCTATTGATGTTATACATTTGGTAATCTGCAACCATCGTATAAAAAATTGAATATGAAAGATTTCTAAAAGCCGACAGTATTAGAATGGAAGATGGAATTCATACCGTAGGTATCAGGATACTGGTGATAATGAAAATGGTCAAGCACCTTAAGATTCTCTTTTCCTTCGATGATTGAAATGGCCACTGACCAATGCATTGTAGTCCTCGTTTCGTAAACGAATAGTACGAGCTGTCGAAGATGTTCTCCATGAGAGTTTTATTTTGTAGCAACGGACGACAGACAAGTGCAATGTCGACTGTAGTAACGAAGGTCCACCTCACAACTGTTGGTGCCTCGTTTCCAACGAGTCATTACGTATTCAGTAATTACAGTCGGGAACATCGCCACATGCCAGCGTCAATTAAATTCGTAAGTCTTTAATACAGAGGGGAATCTCTTTTTGTACAGTGGGAAAAAACTTCAAAGTGCAAAAGATGCCGATGACAAAAATGAAAGAACCTAGTTGGAACTGTTATCGGCGTGCGCGGAAAATGGACATCAATGAGAATTCTTGAATTGCCGGAGTGAATTGAAGAACCGCACGAAAATGTAGTCGAAGCAGTCGTTATATGGCTTCACGACGTTTGTAATGAGTGAAATCGATTTCGTGGCAGTATGCTGGAGGACACTCGCCGCAGAAGATTTGGTTATAACCAGCTGAGTTATATCATGGACTGGAGGACTTGGTAGAATATAATGAATATATGTGACTTGGAAAGAACATGTTGACAGTCGAATTTATTATATATTGTTACCATTTTTTACGTGAAGAATTCGTCAAACCTCTAAACCTGTCCACGTGATTTTTTTTTTTGGATTTCACGTGATTTTTCATTTTAGTTACCTGTGCAATTGCGTTAAGGCAACTGATCGAAATTAGATCGGGTGATGAAATAAAATCTTTTGAAGGAGTTGCAACGATAGAGAAAATGTGTTAATGTGTTGATGAGAAGTGGTCACGTGACTATTCCCTCACTCCTGTCGCGTCAGGACGTTGTAAGTATTGCAAAACTATTGGGGCCCTCTGCATATTCTCGCGCAATACGTAATAGAAGTGTTGATAGATAGACCACGAATAACGAGAGCTAAAAAAAAGAAAAAATGCCAGTGATGAAGAGTCAGTGCCTAAAAAAAGAAAAAAGAATGAAAGTTTATTGGAAAGTGTATGTGGAAGTCCTGGTTAATACGTAAAACAAAGGAAGACACCTTCAAATTGTGAAATGAATCCAGATGATTTTTCAGCAAAGAGAAGGAAAAAAATAGACGAATAACTAGAACGAATGGTCTCCAAATATTGAGAATTATCCAGTGCAACCATTTATTCAAAATTTAGGTCCTGTTCATGATTTGGAGATTGCACAACAATGAGATGTATTTCAAATTGCTTCTTTTCTTTCTTAAATTTCTTTCGTCCTATCTACCAATAAATTCCTTTTAAGAATGTTCATATTTGGGACTCATGTATTCAAACGTGCGCTCAGTGCTACGGAACTGTTCGCGGGCTCGCTATACTCAACCCCTTCTACGTCGAACGCCCGGGCCCAATAGATGGTGCGGATAAGATTGCGAGTCAGTGGGTTAAAAAAAATTTTTTTTTTCGCACACTGAAAATGATGTACATATAAATTTTATGTTATATACATATTATGCACATATAATTATTTTTCAATATATAACAAGAAAATTAAGAAAAACAACATTATATTTCTCTAAAAAAATATATATAACATGGTATACATGTATATAGTATATAATACATCCCTGAGAATAAAAAAGAACGCCAAAAAGCAAAAGAGAAACGAAGAAGATGAAGAGGGTTATGACGATTCCGAATAAAAATTCTACAATTGAATTCTCATTGTGAAAAACGTGAAACCATTCATTTTTCCTGCATTATTATTGAGATAAAAATTAATCGGAGTGTGAAACAGTAAGGTTTTATTATTCTGTCACCCATTCAAAACGATACGCGCCCTATTCTTGTATTAAAAAATAGTATATTTTGATAAGAGTGCGTAAAAGTGTTTTGTTTATACGTTCATTAGTACATTAGAGTACAAGGGCACAAATTTCGTTTTCAGCGAATGTGTAGTTTACAGGCCGAGCCGAAGGCGAGGTCTGTACACACATTCGTTGAAAACGAAATTTATTACCGAGTGCTCTATAATATTTTATGTGAAGTCGTGCAGAAGTTGAGTCGTGAGCAAGCTGCGCGAAGCGCAGCGTGCGATAAACTCGACTTATTGCACGGCGCGACATAAAAAACACTTATTACACCCTCAATGATTCATGGATTCGGACTGTAAAATTTTTCCTCGTTCAAACTTATTCCTGATGTGTATCGTTGACATTCTGCGGATTCACGACTGACTCCGCAGAATTATTCGGGATTACCATAAGTTCGTTTTACTTTTCTCTTTTTTCTTCACCTCGTGGGTTCCAATTTCCGTTTGAGGCTATCAGCTTGAGGTGTTTTTCGTCCGTAGATTAATCAAGAGACACCTAAGAGAATCCGAGAAGACTCAGAATTGAAAAAAAATTAGCATTTTTCGATAATGTTGAGGTAACGAGCCTAATATGACGATAAATCTTATTACGTTCCGTAATAGGCAGGCTTCTAGGTCTAGGTTTTTCACTCAGATTTCTGAAAACTGAATGGTCGAAAATTGACTACGAGAGTGGTCGCACGGTGAGCGTTGCGCTCATTCTCGCTAACCGCGCTCGACAAAGAAATTAATTGAGAAGAAAATTGTCAGTGCAGGGTAACCCTACCGTATTTAATCTCATCAGGACACATCATTTGAGGAACTCGTAAATATGCGGAGCGTAATTCATCACATTTCTAGAGATATTATGAACCAGTAGATTGTCATCAGGCGATAAAAGTATTATCTGGAGAATGTGGCTTTACAATCACATTCGCCAGATAATGCTTTTATCGCCGTATGACATATTGTATTTTATGTCGTTGGCCCCGAAAACCGCGATCTAATCCAGCAAAGCGAGGTTAGAATCGCGGTTGAACGGGCCTAATGATATAAATAACAAAAACGGCGGCGTTCAGACCATAGCGTAACTACTGGAGGGCTAGCGAGGTTTTAAATCGCGAAGGACAAACTTCATCATGGTGATACTTTTCGAGAATCAAATATTGCAAGGTTCATACCTAGCAAGGTTCAAGCGTCCCGAGTGTTATATTTACCTAGATTATCCTGATTTCTAGCAATTTTCCATAGAATAATTGAACTCAAACTTACGGTTTCCATTAATGCTTGCATAACACTTTGAATTTTCAACAAAAAAAGTATTTGCTATTTCAGTGGAGTTATAATGCAGTAAGATTTTCCAAGACGTCTATCGGAAATTTCATCCAAATTTTTTTAGCAGTGCGACATTTGACTCTCGCACTTCAATCCTTGCCCTCCTCTGAGTCTCAGAGATTGTTCACCCAACCAAATAATTCAGTTTGCCTTAAAAAATTCTTTGGAGTAGTTTTGCAGGGTGTCCCACTTGAAACAGGACAGTTGAAAATTTTTCCAGGGAGAGGTGATACAGCAAAACATTTCAGATGAAAGTTGTAGGGTATGGAGGGGGAAACTTAGTGCAGATGCAATTGATGTTCCCATTGTTTATGTTTTTATGCTGTGAGTATGAAGTCGGTTTTTTCAAATGGCAACATCATTTTTGACCCCCTCACAGTTGTGCATCTCATTGAGACGAATTCAACCATATGCTATTCTGTGACTTTCTGAGCGATTTCCTATGAATTATTACACGGAAGTAGAACAAAATGAGAGTCGTGTTGATTGATGTAATAAGGTATTCAGTCATAAAAATTATTTTCGTTTTTGGATAAACCAAATTCTCATTATTGCGACAAATAAATGGAACTTAAATTTTAAAGAATTTCTCTTTCTCCCAATCACACGTATCGCAAAAGGAGATAACACCGGTCTTCACTATAAAATTACACTAATCTGAATTTTCGATTATGTTTAGATTGAAAGCATTGCAGCCTACAGTCTACGTGACTTATCATGAACTGAAGAATAAGTTGATAGTTATTATAACACTCGGCAAATAGAAAATTTTTATTATCAGCAAGGACCACCAAATCGTTAGAGTAGAATCAACTTGATGACAAATTGTTTGTCGGTGTTGGTCACTATGAATTTTCAATTCCTTACGAGTTTATCTCGTTGAATTGAGAAGAGTGAAGAAAGATATGACAGTTCTCATGGCCTTTTCGGGGGAAAAAAAACACACTTATAGTTGTAAATTATAAATATATAAATTTTTCAGAAGATCGAATATGTTACTTACCGCTCCGAATCCTTGCATGGACATGATATATAGTTTTCCAGCTGTCAATTGACATGGTTTTAAACTTCTCATCATGATAGGAAGAAGCATCAACTGCGATCGATTGGAGAAGCGATACCATTCGCTCTGGTAACTATCAATTTCAAAAAATCATTTTTAAGAGTTCAGGATTTTCTACATTTATTCAAATTATGGAATGGTCACACTGACACTGCATCAAGGACACGTTCGTTTTGAACAACAAGGACATGTCCTAACCAACTGGAGTAGAATAAATGAAAGATTAGGTCAACACCAATGCAGCCCGTTCTAAGTGATTCACTCGGTTCAGAATTTTTAATCATAGCCTCCGAGAATATATAAGAAGTTTTAATTTGGCCAATCAAAAAGATGAAACCTATTTGCATACTCACTACAGTACCAGCTACTACTATCAACCCTATATTAATTCCCACCGTCAATAGAAGAGCACCACAACAAGAAGATTCCAAACAATCAACGAATCTGTCATCACAAATGTTGACCGTTACTGTTTCATGCATCAGCAGTGAACAAAGATTTTCAGAAACTCACTGTAACGTCTGTGTTTGTAAATCAGAGCAGATCTTTATACGATTCTTAATGAAATAGAAATCGGCCAATGATGTTTCTTCAATTAATATTGTTCCGTCTAAATGTAGTGATTCTAGATGCGCTCTGAAAGAAATAATAGTCAAAATTTGATTTCCTACAGGCCTGAATGTGTAGCAAATTCAGCTTACTTCAGGATTTCAAACTTTCCACATGCATGGTTAACACAAATTCCAAAGAAATTCTCGAAAAAGACTATGGATGACGTATAGATACTAGCGCTGATGTAGGCGTGAAACAATATATATATATAGTACTTTTCTTGATCGATGAAATATTCCGTCGGAGACAGAAATATTCGGGGACGAGTCTCATTTAATGGATGGAAAAAATCCAATATCTTTGGAATTGCTGGTGTGCAAAAACATAGCAGAAGACCCACGAGGACAAATGCTGCTCAATTGATACCGAAAAATAAANAATCTTTGGAATTGCTGGTGTGCAAAAATATAGCAGAAGACCCACGAGGACAAATGCTGCTCAATTGATACCGAAAAATAAAATGGACGGCATAATAATAGACTATGTTGCAATGATCAGATATTGCACGATGTTTTTGTTAACTAATCCCCAATAGTCCAAGAATATTGGGGAAGTCGGTTGCATCAAACTCTGTTAGTGAAATAGATCCGGATTGGGGTGGGGCTCATAAATATATAGCATTTCAATGTTTTCAGGGTACAATAGAGTGCAATACAGTGGACTCTTCTTGACCCTCCCATTCCATAATTCGCCCTTTATTCCCCTCGAGGCCTGCTTCTCCTTAAAATCTCCCCCCACTTCTCATTTATCGTTTATTCTTATCTATGACGTCATGCGGTACGGAGTGCGTTGTTAAGTCGGAAGGGTGAGATAATAAGAATGGAATCGTAGGGGTGAAATCTTGACGGTAAAATTTAAAGGGTGTAATCGTAAAAATATACTAGCGGCATTCTAGGGATTGAAGTCACATGTTATTCGCTAATTATCACGAAAAAAATATAAATTGTCATTCAAAATCAATCATCATTGTTACAATAATTATTACAATTAATAGTTATTATTATTGTTATTCATTATTGAATTAATTTACCAATTAAATTATAGTTTATTTACTTAATATCTCTATCAACTGAATAATAAAACGTTCAAGTAGAAAAACACCGATCTGGAATTAATGAGCACGATTCGAAGTAGAGATTTTACGAATTGCGCGGTAGGCTAGTGGTTAGGACGTCGGATTAGTAATCGTGAGATCGTGGATTCGAGCCCACGTTAGGGTAATATTTTAAGTTAACAAAATCGGTTTTTCAGCGATGATTGCGCTTAGGGTTTGGTAGGTGAGGCACAATTAATACTAAAAATCATCATAAAAAAAGTTAATTATCTTGTTTTTCTTATTGTTGATAATTGTTATGAATAGTTTGACATGCCGGTATTGATTTTTTTTTCCTCCATGAACCTGTTACGAATGCTGAGGAGTAAGATTGAATTATTTGTATTTCAACCACTGATATCATATTCATGTAATCAAGTCATGTTTAATTGAGCCTGCCAGGAAAAAATTACGTGATCGATAGAGTAAGCTCTGCCGATCACGTAATTTTTCCGTAATTTCAAGTTTCTCAAATTCTCATGAACAGTCTCAGAGCTATTCACCTCTGAAAAGGGTTCATTACGCCCCACCTTTCCTTACTTGCAAATACTACACTGAGTTTTCGTCCTCTTTCGGAATGCTGCTGCAATAATTCAATATCACGTTGATCTCTCAAATTTTTCCAATCTCTTTCAATGGTCAAAAGTAGTCGAATCATCTAAAATATCCATGGAAAAACGATTCTGATTCGAGGGGTTCAGCGTGATCCACAAAGAAATAGTAATTACATTGTCCTCCATCATTATCCAGTTGAAAAAATTCGTAAAACATAATCCTATTAATCCGATAATAAATATGGATTCAATGATAACATCTGTATCATCTAGTGATGTCATACATTTGGTAATCTGCAACAATCGTATAAAAAATTGAATATGAAAGCTTTCTAAAAAGCCGACAGTATTAGAATTGAAGATGGAATTCATACCGTAGGTGTCAGGAAACTGGTGATCGTGAAAAAGGTCAAGCACCTTAAGATTCTCTTTTCCTTCGATGATCGAAATGGCCACTGACCAATACATTGTAGTCCTCGTTTCGTAATCCAGTAGTACGAGCTGTCGAAGATGTTCTCCATGAGAGTTTTATTTTGTAGCAACGGACGACAGACAAGTGCAATGTCGACTGTAGTAACGAAGGTCCACCTCACAACTGTTGGTGCCTCGTTTCCAACGAGTCATTACGTATTCAGTAATTACAGTCGGGAACATCGCCACATGCCAGCGTCAATTAAATTCGTAAGTCTTTAATACAGAGGGGAATCCCTTTTTGTACAGTGGGCAAAAACTTCAAAGTGCAAAAGACGCCGATGACAAAAATGAAAGAACCTAGTTGACACTGTTATCGGCGTACGCGGAAAATGGACATCAATGAGAATTCTTGAATTGCCGGAGTGAATTGAAGAACCGCACGACAATGTAGTCGAAGCAGTCGTTATATGGCTTCACGACGTTTGTAATGAGTGAAATCGATTTCGTGGCAGTATGCTGGAGGACACTCGCCGCAGAAGATTTGGTTATAACCAGCTGAGTTATATCATGGACTGGACGACTTGGTAGAATATAATGAATATATGTGACTTGGAAAGAACATGTTGACAGTAGAATTTATTATATATTGTTACCATTTTTTACGTGAAGAATTCGTCAAACCTCTAAACCTGTCCACGTGATTTTTTTTTGGATTTCACGTGATTTTTCATTTTAGTTACCTGTGCAATTGCGTTAAGGCAACTGATCGAAATTAGATCGGGTGATGAAATAAAATCTTTTGAAGGAGTTGCAACGGTAGAGAAAATGTGTTAATGTGCTAATGAGAAATGGTCACGTGACTATTCCCTCGTGTCGCGTCAGGACCGTTGTAAGTATTGCAAAACTATTTGGGTCCTCTGCATATTCTCGCGTAATACGTAATAGAAGTGTTGATAGACAGACAACAAATAATGAGGGATAAAAAAATGAAAAAATGTCAGTGATGAAGGGTCAGTGCCTAAAAAAAGAAAAAAGAATGAAAGTTTACTGGAAAGTGTACATGGAAGCCCTGGTTAATACGTGAAACAAAGAAAGATACCTTCAAATTGTGAAATGAATCCAGATAATTTTTCAGCAAAGAGAAGGAAAAAAAATTGATGAATAACTAGAACGAATGGTCTCCAAATATTGAGAATCATCCAGTGCAACCATTTATTGAAAATTTAGGTCCTGTTCATGATTTGGAGATTGCACAGCAATGAGATGTATTTCAAATTGCTTCTGTTCTTTCTTAAATGTCTTTCGTTCTATCTACCAATAAATTGCTTTTAAAATAGTATATTTCGATACAAGTGCGGAAAAGTGTTTTTGGCTTGTGGGGGGTTTATAGCACGAGCCGAAGGCGAGTGATGTAATCCCACGAGCCGGAAAACACTTTTCCCACGAGTATCGAATGATTTTTTCCATCACAATGCGTGGGAAAGGGACTTTTAGGCACGCGGAGCGTGCCTGAAAAGTCACTCTTCCCGCACAGCGTGATGAAAAAATTATTTTCGTTTTTGGATAAACCAAATTCTCATTAGTGCGACAAATAAATGGTACTTAAATTTTAAAGAAGTTCTCTTCCTCCCAATCACACACTGAGAAAAAAAATTTCTAAGAAATAGAAATTCTATGATTGATCCAAATCGTTCATCGATTGAATAGTCGCAAAAGAAAATGCTATTGTAAGACACAAATATCGATTTGAACTAAACCAAAATTGGATTGTATGAAATCGATTTTGTTATAGTATAGTATATTTTGTTTATTCTATCGAATTTAGAAAATACTTGTTTTTGCGACAAAATCGATTTCATACAATTCAATTTTGGTTTAGTTCAAACGCTTCGGATTTGGCGCAAACAATTTTTTTTTCACAATTGCGATGGAAAAATAATCAGTTCAAATGATGAAGAATTGCGTTTGTCGTAAACAAGAAACTGCGCTTCGCGAAAGTCTCGCATCAATGAGTATCCAACAATATGTTCCTCATAGGCCAAATGAATATTTTATTGCATCTATGAATTCTGCTTTCAATCGAACAGATATTCTTTTGCGGGATATCGTGACGCTGATAAATTGGATAATTATATGCTTTATTCGAAGAAGATATCTGATAATACAGACATTGCTTTGTATGTACTGAAAAGTAGATAGCAACAAAAAAAAAGTTTATACAACTGATCTCATTCTTTTTCAATCGAAAACATTAAAATTAAATCGATATTTGTTTCTTACAACAGCATTTTCTTTTGCGACTATTCAATCGATGAACGATTTCGATCAATCATAGAATTTCTATTTCTTAGAAATTTTTTTTCTCAGTGCACGTATCGCAAAAGGAGATAACCGGTCTTCACTATAAGAACACATTAATCTGAATTTTCGGTTATACTTAGATTGAAAGCATTGCAGTCTATAGTGTACGTGACTTATCATGAACTGAAGAATAAGTTGATAGTTATTATAACACTCGGCAAATAGAAAATCTTTATTATCAGCAAGGATCATCACCAAATCGTTAGAGTAGGATCAACTTGATCACAAATTGTTTGTCGGTGTTGGCCATTATGAATTTTCAATTCCTTACGAGTTTATCTCATTGAATTGAGAAGAGTGAAGAAAGACATGACAGTTCTCATGGCCTTTCGATGAACAAAAAAAAAACAAACTTATAGTTGTAACTTATAAATATATAAATTTTTCAGAGGATCGAATATATTACTTACCGCTCCGAATCCTTGCATCGACATGATATAGAGTTTTCCAGCTGTCAATTGACATGGTTTTAAAGTTCTCATCATGATAGAAAGAAGCATCAACTGCGATCGATTAGAGAAGCGATACCATTCGCTCTGGTAACTATTAATTTCAAAAAATCATATTCAAGAGTTCAGGATTTTCTAGCTATTCAAATAATGGAATGGTCACACTGACACTGCATCAAGGACACGTTCGTTTTGAACAACAAGGGTATGTCCTAACCAACTGGAGTAGAATAAATGAAAGATTAGGTCAACACCAATGCAGACCATTCTAATTAATTCACTCGGTTCAGAATTTTTAATCATAGCCTCCGAGAATATATAAGAAGTTTTAATTTGGCCAATCAAAAAGATGAAACATATTTGCATACTCACTGCAGTACCAGCCAATACTATCAACCCTATATTAATTCCCACCGCCAATAGAAGAGCACCACGATAAGAAGATTCCAAACAATCAACGAATCTGTCATCACAAATGACCGTTACTGTTTCATGCATCAGCAGTGAACAAAGATTTTCAGAAACTCACTGTAACGTCTGTGTTTGTAAATCAGAGCAGATCCTTATACGATTCTTAATGAAATAGAAATCGGCCAATGATGTTTCTTCAATTAATATTGTTCCGTCTAAATGTAGTGATTCTAGATGCGCTCTGAAAGAAATAATAGTCAAAATTTGATTTCCTACAGGCCTGAATGTGTAGCAAATTCAACTTACTTCAGGATTTCAAACTTTCCACATGCATGGTTAACACAAATTGCAAAGAAATTCTCGAAAAAGACTATGCACGCCGTATAGATAGGAACGCTGATGTAGACGTGAAACAATATATATATATAGTACTTTTCTTGATCGATGAAATATTCCGTCGGAGACAGAAATATTCGGGGACGAGTCTCATTTAATGGATGGAAAAAATCCAATATCTTTGGAATTGCTGGTGTGCAAAAATATAGCAGAANCTGAATGTGTAGCAAATTCAGCTTACTTCAGGATTTCAAACTTTCCACATGCATGGTTAACACAAATTGCAAAGAAATTCTCGAAAAAGACTATGCACGCCGTATAGATAGGAACGCTGATGTAGGCGTGAAACAATATATATATATAGTACTTTTCTTGATCGATGAAATATTCCGTCGGAGACAGAAATATTCGGGGACGAGTCTCATTTAATGGATGGAAAAAATCCAATATCTTTGGAATTGCTGGTGTGCAAAAACATAGCAGAATATTCCCGTAGACAAATGCTGTTCAATTGATACCGAAAAATAAAATGGACGGCATAATAATAGACTATGTTGCAATGATCAGATGTTGCACGATGTTTTTGTTAACTAATCCCCAATAGTCCAAGAATATTGGGAAAGTCGGTTGCATCAAACTTTGTTAGTGAAATAGATCCGGATTGGGGTGGGGCTCATAAATATATAGCATTTCACTGTTTTCAGGGTACAATATAATTGAATCACTTAATATCTCTATCAACTGAATAATAAAACGTTCAAGTAGAAAAAAACCGTTCTGGAATTAATGAGGACGATTCGAAGTGGAGATTTTACGAATTGCGCGGTAGGCTAGTGATTAGGACGTCGGATTAATAGTCGTGAGGTCGTGGATTCGAGCCCACGTTAGGGTAATATTTTAAGTTAACAAAATCGGTTTTTCAGCGATGATTGCGGTTAGGGTTTGGTAGGTGGGGAGCACAATTAATACTAAAAATCATCCTAAAAAAAGTTAATTATCTTGTTTTTCTTATTATTGATAATTGTTATGAATAGTTTGACATGCCGGTATTGATTTTTTTTCCTTCATGAAGATGTTACGAATGCTCAGGAGTAAGATTGAATTACTTGTATTTGAATCACTGATATATTCATGTAATTAAGTAATGTTTAATTGAGCCTGGCCCTATATAATATTAACGAAATTTTCAGAAAAAAAATTTCTCCGATAATTCAAGTAGCTAAGACAACCTTTGATATTCCTATAATCTCGAACTGAAAAACTAAATAGATTAGAAAAGTTGATCTGCTGAACGATTAACGATTGATAATTTTGAATTTTGTTCTCTGAGTACTACTTTTACAGAGCCTTTATAACTCTTACATAGAACTAATACATTTCATTTTCTTTTCACATTTAATCACACGTAAGCTCTACCGATCACGTAATTTTTCCGTAATTTCAAGTTTCCCAAATTCTCATGAACAGTCTCAGAGCTATTCACCTCTGAGAAGGGTTCATTACGCCCCACCTTTCCTTACTTGTAAATGCTACACTGAGTTTTCGTCCTCTTTCGGAATGCTGCTGCAATAATTCAATATCACGTTGATCTATCAAATTTTTCCAATCTCTTTCAATGGTCAAAAGTAGTCGAATCATCTAAAATATCCATGGAAAAACGATTCTGATTCGAGGGGTTCAGCGTGATCCACAAAGAAATAGTAATTACATTGTCCTCCATAATTGTCCAGTTGAAAAAATTCGTAAAACCTAATCCTATTATTCCGATAATAAATAGGGATTCAATGACAACATCTGTATCATCTAGTGATGTCATACATTTGGTAATCTGTAACCATCGTATCAAAAATTGAATATGAAAGCTTTCTAAAAAGCCGACAGCATTAGAATGGAAGATGGAATTCATACCGTAGGTGTCAGGAAACTGGTGATCATGAAAAAGGTCAAGCACCTTAAGATTCTCTTTTCTTTCGATGATCGAAATGGCCACTGACCAATGCATTGTAGTCCTCGTTTCGTAATCCAATAGTACGAGCAGTCGAAGATGTTCTCCATGAGAGTATTATTTTGTAGTAACGGACGACTGACAAGTGCAATGTCGACTGTAGTAACGAAGGTCCACCTCACATTAACTGTTGGTGCCTCTTTTCCAACGAGTCATTACGTATTCAGTAATTACAGTCGGAAACTTTGCCACATGCCAGCGTCAATTAAATTCGTAAGTCTTTAATAAAAGGGGGAATCCCTTTTTGTACAGTGGGCAAAAACTTCAAAGTGCAAAAGACGCCGATGACAAAAATGAAAGAATCTAGTTGAAACTGTTATCGGTGTACGCGGAAAACGGACATCAATGAGAATTCTTGAATTGCCGGAGTGAATTGAAAAACCGCACGACAATGTAGTCGAAGCAGTCGTTATATGACTTCACGACGTTTGTAATGAGTGAAATCGATTTCGTGGCAGTATGCTGGAGGACACTCGCTGCAGAAGATTTGGTTATAACCAGCTGAGTTATATCATGGACTGGACGACTTGGTAGAATATAATGAATATATGTGACTTGGAAAGAACATGTTGACAGTAGAATTTATTATATATTGTTACCATTTTTTACGTGAAGAATTCGTCAAACCTCTAAACCTGTCCACGTGATTTTTTTTTTTGATTTCACGTGATTTTTCATTTTAGTCACCTGTGCAATTGCGTTAAGGCAACTGATCGAAACTAGATCGGGTGATGAAATAAAATCTTTTGAAGGAGTTGCAATGATAGAGAAAATGTGTTAATGTGTTAATGAGAAATGGTCACGTGACTATTCCCTCACTCGTGTCGCGTCAGGACCGTTGTAAGTATTGCAAAACTATTGGGGCCCTCTGCATATTCTCGCGCAATACATAATAGAAGTGTTGATAGATAGACAACAAATAATGAGAGCTAAAAAAAAGAAAAAATGTCAGTGATGAAGAGTCAGTGCCTAAAAAAAGAAAAAAGAATGAAAGTTTATTGGAAAGTGTATGTGGAAGTCCTGGCTAATACGTGAAACAAAGAAAGACACCTTCAAATTGTGAAATGAATCCAGATGAGTTTTCTGCAAAGAGAAGGAAAAAAAATTGATGAATAACTAGAACGAATGGTCTCCAAATATTGAGAATTATCCAGTGTAACCATTTATTGAAAATTTAGGTCCTGTTCATGATTTGGAGATTGCACAGCAATGAGATGTATTTCAAATTGGTTCTGTTCATTCTTAAATTTCTTTCGTTCTATCTACCAATAAATTCCTTTTAAAAATTTTTATATTTGGGACTCATGTATTCAAACGTGCGCTGAGTGCTACGGAACTGTTCGCGCGCTCGCTACTCAACCCCTTCTACGTCGTACGCCCGGGCCTAATAGATAGTGGGGATAAGATTGCGAGTCAGTGGGTTAAAAAAAAATTTTTTTTTTCGCACACTGAAAATGATGTACATATAAATTTTGTTATATACATATTATGCACATATAATTATTTTTCAATATATAACAAGAAAATTAAGAAAAACAACATATTTCTGTAAAAAAAATATATATAACATAGTATACATGTATATAGTACATAATACATCCCTGAGAATAAAAAAGAACGCAAAAAAGCAAAAGAGAAACGAAGAAGATGAAGAGGATTATGACGATTCCGAATAAAAATTCTACAATTGAATTCTCATTGTGAAAAACGTGAAACCATTCATTTCTCCTGCATTATTATTGAGATAAAAATTAATCGGAGTGTGAAACAGTAAGGTTTTATTATTCTGTCACCCATTCAAAACGATACGCGCCCCATTCTTGTATTAAAAAATAGTATATTTTGATAAGAATGCGTAAAAGTGTTTTGTTTATACGTTCATAAAACATTTATTACACCCTCAATGATTCATGGATTTGGACGGTAAAATTTTTCCTCGTTCAAACTTATTCCTGATGTGTATCGTTGACATTCCGCGGATTCACGACTGACTCCGCAGAATTATTCGGGATTACCATAAATTCGTTTTACTGTTCTCTTCTTTCTTCACCTCGTGGGTTCTAATTTCTGTTTGAGGCTATCAGCTTGCGGTGTTTTTTGTCCGTAGATTAATCAAGAGACACCTAAGAGAATCGGAGAAGACTCAGAATTGAAAAAAAATTGGCATTTTTCGATAATGTTGAGGTAACGAGCCTAATATGACGATAAATATTATTACGTTCCGTAATAGGCAGGCTTCTAGGTCTAGGTTTCTCACTCAGATTTCTGAAAACTGAATGGTCGAAAATTGTACACGACATGATAGTGCACAGACCAAATGTTCCAACAATAATTAATCAACATACAAAATGTTCATATTCACCTCGAGGCATATTAATAGGATTTTTGAGAACGAAATATTGATCAATTCGCATGCTGTAGTAGAAATATAAGTTCCGAAAATTGCTGTGCACATTCGAAACTGGCAGGTGGAAATATACATGCAATCCGGGAACATTGTAACCACCGAATACCATACAGAGTGTATGATTATTGTTTCGAATCTTTCGCAGTCCGACCAATTGAGAATTGTCCGGCATTCCAATCGGATTAGATTTTCCATTGATATCTAATTTGTGAATGTAGGTAAATATGAATGTGCAGAAGTTTACAGTAGAAATGGGGAAATTATAAAATTCATTGTGTTTAATTTCCGTCACTTTGGTGATATAAGTTTACAGCCTGCCATTCACAGCACTGGTCTCATTGGTAAGTATTTTTTGTTTTTCTGTACGGTACATTTGGTACAATGTCACGTAGAGCGTGTTATAAGGAATTGACTGCTTTGATTGACAGGGATGATTTTCACGTATTCATGTCAATTGTGTTATCCTGCAATAATTTGGCGACAAGTAGGTATTCACTTTACACACAGTATTTTATTATTCACAGTTACTGTGGTAGATGATGACTGAAGAGTTTCTTATAACGAATACTGTGATAAAGAACCTCCTGTGATTTTTGCAATGTAACGGTATTGTGCTCTATTATTTGTCCCATATTACACAGATCTAAATCATTCTTAAAATATCACCAACTCGACGAGAAAATGCGACAACTTGGTCTGATTATTATTGGGTTTTTTCATCAAAAGTCATGCTAATGATGTCTTGATTGATATAACGACGTATTTTTATCATTATTTTTTTTCAATCTCCAAAAATGTTCAAATATTTTTTTATTCGATTGCTTCACCATTTTATCTTTTCAATGTATCATTAAATTATTCATTATGAAATTAATTCTGGTCCAAATGTTCTCTCCGTGAACACCTATATTCTTGAGAGATACCAATTCTGTCTCCTCTATCCTCGAATGAGGAAAAACCGGCAAATTTTTACTTTTTTTTCGTCTCAAGTATCTAAATTTATTCGTGATACGTATCGCTGATATTGCCGGGGTCCCGCTGACTCCAGAAAGCCATTTGGAATTAACATATGCAGCAGAAAGTCCGGCGGTAGTCATACTCATTTCTCCTCCCTCTCCTCTTTATTATTCCGCATCCTTTTATTTTTTTCGTCGTTTCTCACCTCGTCGTTTCTAATTCCTACTGGAGGCTATCAGCTTCAGTTGTTGTTCGTCTTCAGACCGGTGAAGACCTACACAGCCCCAGAAGAAAATTGCGAGACCCAATAAAATCGTAAAAATAAAGAAAAACTCAATTTCCTTAATTAATTTTCATGTTTTCTCTCCGTTCTAAAAATGTTCAGTTTAGCTAGTAAATGTTTATTCGTGCGTGCAAAAGTCGGACGAATTGTTATTCCAAAATGTCACCGGGAGAAATTTGAATTTTTAAATGATGAACAATCGTTTTCGACTAATTTGGCGAGTGCGGAGAAATTAGAAATTCCAAATTGTCCGAAGCCAACATTTATGGAGAATCTGAAGGGTCTGGTGTGTTGGGATAGGGCCCAGCGGCTTCACGAGTTCATCGACGAACAGCATCGGACAATGGGACCGATATTTCGGATGCACATAGGAGCGGTCACTGCGGTATTTGTTAATTCACCCGAGGCTTATCAGAGGATCTTCAAATTGGAGGGCCTGACCCCCTAGAATTTTGTACCTGAGGCGTGGATACTCTACAACGAGATGAGAGAGTGTCCCAGGGAGTTACTCTTCATGTGAGAGTGAAAACGCATTCTTCAATTTTTTTTGGCTTTGGAATGGAAGCATTGTATTCGTCGAATTCGAAATTTTCAATTTTTTTGTCTCAAGATAACTAATTTTGGCCTCAAATTTTTCTTCGATAGCTCGCTAATGAATCGACAGAATTGAATCTGTTTTCCTCGAATTGAGGTATTACTGAGACTTCTCAATCGCCATTAATTAAAATTTAATTAATCAATTTATTTTTTATTTTTTCAATTTTTCAAAAAAAAATTTTTTTCACGATAACTAAAAAAATGTTCTGAATTGATCGAATGATGGCTTAAAAAATTCTTTTGGATATCCTTTGATCGAGTTAGAAGATGAAGGCGATAGCAATAATCGTTATTCTGATTTATTTAAAATTTTGCAAAATTTTTTTTTTTTTTGAAAATCAGAATTTTGGGGATATCGATGGATATCGTGCTTCAAATGAATTCCATCATAGTTTAAAATGTTTGTTTTAACGTCATTAATTCGAGATTAAAAGGTAATTACGATAGCTATTTTGGTTGATTCAATTTTTATGATGATTGTTGAACATTTCCAATTTTTCATGAATTCCCATGAAAGTGAGTTTCTTGGATGTCAGAAGTGGACAAGAATGGCTGAACAACCGCCGAATACTCAACAAACTTCCCCTGAAACCTTGCACAACTAAAGACGTGATGGTCGGTTCCTGCGAAAGTGCAGCGAAAAAGTTGTGCAATGAGTGGAAATTCTTCGCTGACGCAGGAAAAACCGTTCCGGAACTCGAGAAGAGGCTGTACCTGTGGTCAATAAAGGGTAGGGAAGCGTTCGCAACCGCAACAAGACATCCAATGCATTTGACTAATAACATTCATCATATTGTGGTCTGATAGGGATTGACGTAAATACTTTACCATGCGCTCTTGTATTCAAGTTTGAATGCCTTAAAATACTTCAAATTTTAAGAATTAAGGCCCGGCTCTATTATCTGCCGCACGTTATCTATTATCAATGGCGATTGGCTCAAGTGATTAGTAATTCATCGTAAAAGTATGATCAGAAATTTTTTTTAAATGTTACAGTTTTTTTCACAGAGCCTTTTTTCGTACAATTGTTGCGGATTTATTATTTCATAAATATTATTATTTTAGTGTGACAGTAGTGGTCACACGGGTAGGATACAGGGTTGCGAGATTTTGGCGATTTATAGCCAAAACCTGTACAATTTTAAATGGGGTGACGTTACGATCTGGTAACACTGGGGTCGGCAACACCGCTCGTCAAATTTCCACTACGAGAGTGGTCGCACGGTGAGCGTTGCGCTCATTCTCGCTAACCGCGCTCGACAAAGAAATTAATTGAGAAGAAAATTGTCAGTGCAGGGTAACCCTACCGTATTTAATCTCATCAGGACACATCATTTGAGGAACTCGTAAATATGCGGAGCGTAATTCATCACATTTCTAGAGATATTATGAAACAGTAGATTGTCATCAGGCGATAAAAGTATTATCTGGAGAACGTGGCTTTACAATCACATTCGCCAGATAATGCTTTTATCGCCGTATGACATATTGTATTTTATGTCGTTGGCCCCGAAAACCGCGATCTAATCCAGCAAAGCGAGGTTAGAATCGCGGTTGAACGGGCCTAATGATATAAATAACAAAAACGGCGGCGTTCAGACCATAGCGTAACTACTGGAGGGCTAGCGAGGTTTTAAATCGCGAAGGACAAACTTCATCATGGTGATACTTTTCGAGAATCAAATATTGCAAGGTTCATACCTAGCAAGGTTCAAGCGTCCCGAGTGTTATATTTACCTAGATTATCCTGATTTCTAGCAATTTTCCATAGAATAATTGAACTCAAACTTACGGTTTCCATTAATGCTTGCATAACACTTTGAATTTTCAACAAAAAAATTATTTGCTATTTCAGTGGAGTTATAATGCAGTAAGATTTTCCAAGACGTCTATCGGAAATTTCATCCAAATTTTTTTAGCAGTGCGACATTTGACTCTCGCACTTCAATCCTTGCCCTCCTCTGAGTCTCAGAGATTGTTCACCCAACCAAATAATTCAGTTTGCCTTAAAAAATTCTTTGGAGTAGTTTTGCAGGGTGTCCCACTTGAAACAGGACAGTTGAAAATTTTTCCAGGGAGAGGTGATACAGCAAAACATTTCAGATGAAAGTTGTAGGGTATGGAGGGGGAAACTTAGTGCAGATGCAATTGATGTTCCCATTGTTTATGTTTTTATGCTGTGAGTATGAAGTCGGTTTTTTCAAATGGCAACATCATTTTTTATCCCACAGTTGTGCATCTCATTGAGACGAATTCAACCATATGCTATTCTGTGACTTTCTGAGCGATTTCCTATGAATTATTACACGGAAGTAGAACAAAATGAGAGTCGTGTTGATTGATGTAATAAGGTATTCAGTCATAAAAATTATTTTCGTTTTTGGATAAACCAAATTCTCATTATTGCGACAAATAAATGGAACTTAAATTTTAAAGAATTTCTCTTTCTCCCAATCACACGTATCGCAAAAGGAGATAACACCGGTCTTCACTATAAAATTACACTAATCTGAATTTTCGATTATGTTTAGATTGAAAGCATTGCAGCCTACAGTCTACGTGACTTATCATGAACTGAAGAATAAGTTGATAGTTATTATAACACTCGGCAAATAGAAAATTTTTATTATCAGCAAGGACCACCAAATCGTTAGAGTAGAATCAACTTGATGACAAATTGTTTGTCGGTGTTGGTCACTATGAATTTTCAATTCCTTACGAGTTTATCTCGTTGAATTGAGAAGAGTGAAGAAAGATATGACAGTTCTCATGGCCTTTTCGGGGGAAAAAAAACAAACTTATAGTTGTAAATTATAAATATATAAATTTTTCAGAAGATCGAATATGTTACTTACCGCTCCGAATCCTTGCATGGACATGATATAGAGTTTTCCAGCTGTCAATTGACATGGTTTTAAACTTCTCATCATGATAGGAAGAAGCATCAACTGCGATCGATTGGAGAAGCGATACCATTCGCTCTGGTAACTATTAATTTCAAAAAATCATATTTAAGAGTTCAGGATTTTCTACATTTATTCAAATTATGAAATGGTCATACTGACACTGCATCAAGGACACGTTCGTTTTGAACAACAAGGACATGTCCTAACCAACTGGAGTAGAATAAATGAAAGATTAGGTCAACAATAATGCAGACCATTCTAATTGATTCACTCGGTTCAGAATTTTTAATCATAGCCTCCGAGAATATATAAGAAGTTTTAATTTGGCCAATCAAAAAGATGAAACCTATTTGCATACTCACTACAGTACCAGCCAATACTATCAACCCTATATTAATTCCCACCGTCAATAGAAGAGCACCACGATAAGAAGATTCCAAACAATCAACGAATCTGTCATCACAAATGTTGACCGTTACTGTTTCATGCATCAGCAGTGAACAAAGATTTTCAGAAACTCACTGTAACGTCTGTGTTTGTAAATCAGAACAGATCCTTATACGATTCTTAATGAAATAGAAATCGGCCAATGATGTTTCTTCAATTAATATTGTTCCGTCTAAATGTATTGATTCTAGATGCGCTCTGAAAGACTTAATAGTGAAAATTTGATTTCCTACAGGCCTGAATGTGTAGCAAATTCAGCTTACTTCAGGATTTCAAACTTTCCACATGCATGGCTAACACAAATTGCAAAGAAGTTCTCGAAAAAGACTATGCACGCCGTATATATAGAACTGCTGATGTAGGCGTGAAACAATATATATATATAGTACTTTTCTTGATCGATGAAATATTCCGTCGGAGACAGAAATAATCGGGGACGAGTCTCATTTAATGGATGGAAAAAATCCAATATCTTTGGAATTGCTGGTGTGCAAAAATATAGCAGAAGACTCCCGTAGACAAATGCTGTTCAATTGATACCGAAAAATAAAATGGACGTCATAATAATAGATTATGTTGCAATGATCAGATGTTGCACGATGTTTTTGTTAACTAATCCCCAATAGTCCAAGAATATTAGGAAAGTCGGTTGCATCAAACACTGTTAGTGAAATAGATCCGGATTGGGGTGGGGCTCATAAATATATAGCATTTCAATGTTTTCAGGGTACAATAGAGTGCAGTACAGTGGACTCTTCTTGACTCTACCATTCCATAATTCGCACTCTATTCCCCTCGAGGCCTGCTTCTCCTTAAAATCCTCCCCCCACTTCTCATTTATCGTTTATTCTTATCTATGACGTCATGCGGTGCGGAGTGCGTTGTTAAGTCGGAAGGGTGAGATAATAAGAATGGAATCGTAGGGGTGGAATCTTGAGGGTAAAATTTAAAGGGTGTAATCGTAAAAATATACTGGTGGCATTCTAGGGATTGAAGTCACATGTTATTCGCTAATTATCACGAAAAAAATATAAATTGTAAAAATATAATTCACGATTGATACTTTTGGATTTTGTTCTCTGTGTACTACTCTCACAGAGCCTTCATGACTCTTACACAGAACTAATACATTTCATTTTCTTTTCACATTTAATCACACGTAAGCTGTACCGATTACGTAATTTTTCCGTAATTTCAAGTTTCCCAAAGTCTCATGAACTGTCTCAGAGCTATTCACCTCTGAAAATGGTTCATTACGCCCCACCTTTCCTTACTTGCAAATGCTACACCCAATTTTTGTGCTCTTTCGGAATGCTGCTGCAGTAATTCAATATCACGTTGATCTATCAAACTTTTCCAATCTCTTTTAATGGTCAAAAGTAGTTGAATCATCTAAAATATCCATGGAAAAACGATTCTGATTCGAGGGGTTCAGCGTGATCCACAAAAAAACAGTAATTACAGTGTCCTCCATAATTGTCCAGTTGAAAAACTTCGTGAAAGCTAATGCTATTAATCCGATAATAAATAGGTCTTCAATGACAACATCTATATCATCTATTGATGTTATACATTTGATAATCTGCAACCATCGTATAAAAAATTGAATATGGAAGCTTTCTAAAAGCCAACAGTATTAGAATGGAAGATGGAATTCATACTGTAGGTGTCAGGAAACTGGTGATCGTGAAAAAGGTCAAGCACCTTAAGATTCTCTTTTCCTTCGATGATTGAAATGGCCACTGACCAATGCATTGTAGTCCTCGTTTCGTAATCCAATAGTACGAGCAGTCGAAGATGTTCTCCATGAGAGTTTTATTTTGTAGCAACGGACGACAGACAAGCGCAATGTCGACTGTAGTAACGAAGGTCCACCTCACAACTGTTGGTGCCTCTTTTCCAACGAGTCATTACGTATTCAGTAATTACAGTCGGGAACTTCGCCACATGCCAGTGTCAATTAAATTCGTAAGTCTTTAACACAGAGGGGAATCTCTTTTTGTACAGTGGGCAAAAACTTCAAAGTGCACAAGACGCCGATGACAAAAATGAAAGAACCTAGTTGGAACTGTTATCGGCGTACGCGGAAAATGGGCATCAATGAGAATTCTTGAATTGCCGGAGTGAATTGAAGAACCGCACGACAATGTAGTCGAAGCAGTCGTTATATGGCTTCACGACGTTTGTAATGAGTGAAATCGATTTCGTGGCAGTATGCTGGAGGACACTCGCTGCAGAAGATTTGGTTATAACCAGCTGAGTTATATCATGGACTGGACGACTTGGTAGAATATAATGAATATATGTGACTTGGAAAGAACATGTTGACAGTAGAATTTATTATATATTGTTACCATTTTTTACGTGAAGAATTCGTCAAACCTCTAAACCTGTCCACGTGATTTTTACTTTTTTTTCGTCTCAAGTATCTAAATTTATTCGTGATACGTATCGCTGATATTGCCGGGGTCCCGCTGACTCCAGAAAGTTACTTGGAATTAACATATGCAGCAGAAAGTCCGGCGGTAGTTATACTCATTTCTCCTCTCTCTCTCCTCTTTATTATTCCGCTTCCTTTTATTTTTCTCGTCGTTTCTCACCTCGTCGTTTCTAATTCCTACTGGAGGCTATCAGCTTCAGTTGTTGTTTGTCTTCAGACCGGTGAAGACCTACACAGCCCCAGAAGAAAATTGCGAGACCCAATAAAATCGTGAAAATAAAGAAAAACTCAATTTCCTCAATTAATTTTCGTGTTTTCTCTCCGTTCTAAAAATGTTCAGTTTAGCTAGTAAATGTTTATTCGTGCGTGGAAAAGTCGGACGAATTGTTATTCCAAAATGTCACCGGGAGAAATTTGAATTTTTAAATGATGAACAATCGTTTTCGACTAATTTGGCGAGTGCGGAGAAACTAGAAATTCCAAATTGTCCGAAGCCAACATTTATGGAGAATCTGAAGGGTCTGGTGTGTTGGGATAGGGCCCAGCGGCTTCACGAGTTCGTCGACGAACAGCATCGGACAATGGGACCGATATTTCGGATGCACATAGGAGCGGTCACTGCGGTATTTGTTAATTCACCCGAGGCTTATCAGAGGATCTTCAAATTGGAGGGCCTCACCCCCCAGAATTTTGTACCTGAGGCGTGGACACTCTACAACGAGATGAGAGAGTGTCCCAGGGGGTTACTGTTCATGTGAGAGCGAAAACGCATTTTTCATTTTTTTTTGGCTTTGGAATGGAAGCATTGTATTCGTCGAATTCGAAATTTTCAATTTTTTTGTGTCAAGATAACTAATTTTGGCCTCAAATTTTTCTTCGATTTCTCCCTAATGAATCGACAGAATTGAATCTCTTTTCCTCGAATTTAGGTATTACTGAGATTTCTCAATCGCCATTAATTAAAATTTAATTAATCAATTTATTTTTTTATTTTTTAAATTTTTCAAAAAATTGTTTTTTTTCACGATAATTAAAAAAATGTTCTGAATTGATCGAATGATGGCTTAAAAAATTCTTTTGGATATCCTTTGATCGAGTTCGAAGATGAAGGTGATAGCAATAATCGTTATTCTGATTTATTTAAAATTTTGCAATTTTTTTTTTTTTTGAAAATCAGAATTTCGGGGATATCTTTGGATATCATGCTTCAAATAAATTCCATCATAGCTTAAAATGTTTGTTTTAACGTCATTAATTCGAAATTAAAAGGTGGCTACGATAGCTATTTTGGTTGATTTAATTTTTATGATGATTGTTGAACATTTCGAATTTTTCATGAATTCCCATGAAAGTGAGTTTCTTTGATGTCAGGAGTGGACAAGAATGGCTGAACAACCGCCGAATACTCAACAAACTTCTCCTGAAACCTTGCACCGCTAAAGACGTGATGGTCGGTTCCTGCGAAAGTGCAGCGAAAAAGTTGTGCAATGAGTGGAAATTCTTCGCTGACGCAGGAAAAACCGTTCCGGAACTCGAGAAGAGGCTGTACCTGTGGTCAATAAAGGGTAGGGAAGCGTTCGCAACCGCAAGAAGGCATCGAATGCATTTGAATAATAACATTCATGTTGTGGTCTGATAGGGATTAACGTAAATAATTTACCATGCGCTCTTGTATTCAAGTTTGAATACCTCAAAATAATTCAAATTTTAAGATTTAAGGCCCGGCTCCATTATCTGCCCAACGTTACGTATTATCAATGGAGAAGATTGGCGCAAGTGATTAGTAATTAATAATTCATCGTAAAAGTATGATCAAAATTTTTTTTAAAATGTTACAATTTTTTTCAAAGAGCCTTTTTTTGTACAATTGTTGCGGTGTGCCAAAGGATTTATCATTTCATAAATGTTATTATTTCAGTGTGACAGTAGTGGTCACACGGGTAGCGTACGGCTCCGGCGGTCGTCCAAGCTAAGCAGCGTCTAGTCTGCCCAGTACTTGGATGGGTGTCCGCTTAGCTCTACCTCTCCGCGTGCGACTACTGGCGCTAGGCACGAATGTAGAGACCTACTGTGTCCATCGAGTCCGTGTGGCCGATGGCCACAATAGAATCCCTACAATATCGGCCGGCTGCACAACTGAGGTTTTCCATGGTTTCCCGTGGCAGTCCTTGTCCGAATGGGTGCAGTTGGGGAAAAGTAAGTCGGCCATGGTAACGGAGATAAAAGGGGATGGGAAGAAAATGTAAAGACCCGAGAGGGTATACATATGGATGAATAAAATAATTCATTAATAAAAAAAATATATTATTACTAGGGGGCTTCGACCCCAACTCGCCTCGCTCGCCAACCCTTGGGGGGGCTTCGCCCCCCCGCTCGCTTCGCTTGCTCCCCCTCCCCGGCGGGTGGACAGTTCGTTTTTCGTTCAAATCTTGAAACATTAACTATTGGATACTATTTTTTGTTCTTTGGTGTGGTTAAAATGCAGCTGTCAGATAAGGAAGGGGGCAGGAGGGGGAGGGGCGAAAGCGGCGGAGGGGAGGGGAAGCGTCCCCTGAATTTTCGGCTTTATTTTTTTATTATATAGGAAGATTTCAGTAGTGAAGTGGTCAATGGATTTAAGTCGACTTAGCCCCCATTTGAGTTTTTGTTGAATAACTTGGAATTTATGAAAGATAGCGAAATGTTTGTGAAATCTTCTTCGATAGTCCTCCCTTTTCTGTACAAAAAAGTTTTTTAGGAAAATTTTGCTAACTACTTTAGAATTTTAGACTTAAATCGTTTGACCACTTCAATACTGATTTCATAAACAGAATTTATCACCCGTTCATTATGATTTCCGCTGATTAGTTATAGTTTCCGCTTTAATGGGAACCACCTGGGACCTTCATGAGGACGAAATCTCCGGCGATTTGAATATTCTAGCTGAAAATCTCCACGAGGTTTTCGTTCAAAGTGCAAAACTCTCGCTCTTACCCTGCAAGTTGGCCGTAAAATTTCAACTTCCGGTCTGGAAGAAATTCGTCAGGGTCATGGACACAACCATAAGGGTCGCCAGAAAGCTAGTTTTCCGGATAGGGAAAGTTTCTAATAATGGACTTTTGGATTTGATGAGAGATTCTGGGATTCGGGACGAACATCTCATCAGAATCGTCACTGACTTGATTATTGCTGCTGGAGACACTGTAAGCAATATTCATGACTTTTTGAACAATTTTAAGAAGTCAAAATTATAAAATCGAAAATAATTTTTCTGTGCATTTTTTTTCTTTAAAAAAAAATGACTTTTCTAGTTTTTTCGCAATTTTTCATGAAGTTTTGGTTTTAGATTTATTTTATCGATATTTTTCAGACGACATATTCGACCCAGTGGGCCCTCTACCTCCTCTCAACCCACGAAGAAGTCCAAGAGAGAATATTCGATATCGTTTCATCGAATAGTTCTCAAGAGATGATTGATAATTTGTACATGAAGGGGGTTTTGAGGGAATCCTTGAGGCTTTATCCCACAGCGCCGTTTCTCATGAGATGTCTGTCTCAGGATAGTACGATCGAGGGCTACACAATCTCAAAGGGGGTAAATATAATGAATTATTACCGTAATTGAAAAAAAATAAATGAGGAATTGAAATCAATAGTTCCGGAAATACCTTGGGTTCCGTTTTTACTGTCATTTTTGACGTTTTGCGATATTTGACCCTTGCGAGGCAAGACCCTTGCGACGCATATTTTTTGCGACTTTTGACTCGCGCAGTATGACCTCCATGACTTTGAACAGGCGGCATTCGCAGTCCCAATTATTCCAATATTAACTTGAATTAAACTCTATTGAATCCCTAAGGGTCGTCTGATCTTCTAATCCGTTTGACCCGCAAAATTGACCCATAGAATCGACCCTTACAGGTGTAATAATTTTGAGTCAATCGACCCTTAAAGTCGACCATGTTGCCTCACATGCGAAAGGTTCCGAGTTCAAATCTCGGTCGGGTAGAATGGTGCGATCTAAGCATTTAAAGTCTTGATCATCATCGCAGTATACCCTAACCGGGTCGAAGCGATGTAAAATAACGATAAAAAAAAAAGTCGACCATTACAGTTCTAATAGTTTTGAGGGCCAAAATGTCTTAAGGTGCAAATAACCCTTCTTGATGACTTTGCTGGGACCGATTTGACCCTTGAGAACGTTTGACCCTTAACCCTAAACGTTCTTGAAAGCTGTTCAATCCTCGAGACCATTTGACCCTCAACCTCAGACATTCTTAAGGGCCGTTTGGCCTTCAAAGCCATCTGACCCTTACAGGTCTAATCATTTTGAGGGTCAAATGAGGATCAAGGACGTTCAGAATTGAGGGCCAAGGTATCTTAAGGTGCAAATGACCCTTCCTGATGACATTTGACCCTTGAAAACGTATGACCTTTAACCTTAAACTTTCTTAAGTGTTGTTAAACCCTCGAAGCCATTTGACCCTCAATCCCAGAGGTTCTAAAGGGTCACTTAATCTTCAAAACCGTTTGACCCTTACAGGTCTTTTTGAGGGTCAAATGAGGATGAAGGACGTTCGGAGTTGAGGGCCAAAGTGTCTTAAGGTACAATGACCCTTCTTTATGACATTTGAACCTTGTGAACGTTTGACCCTTGACCCTTAAAGTCCTTGAGAGTTGTTCAATCCTCGAGACCATTTGACCCTCAACCCCAGACGTCTTTAAGGGTCGTTTGACCTTTAGAGCCATTTGACCCTTGACTCCAAACGTTTTAAGGGCCATTTGACCCCCAAAACCATTAGACTCATAAAGGTCATTTGACCCCCAACTACAAACAAAAAAAAATCCCTGAAATGTACTAAACAATTAAATTTTTCCACTCCAGGAACACATGATAATGTCCCTGTACTCAAGTGGAAGGGACAACAACAACTTCCCTCAGGCCAATGAATTCTCCCCGGAGCGATGGACACGAGATTCCAAAAATAAACATGAAAATGTAATAAATCCATTAGGAACTTTGCCCTTCGCCGCGGGAGCGCGAAGCTGCATCGGTAGAAAATTCGCCGAGGCTCAGATGACCTTGACAATATCCCAGGTAATTGAATGCAAATAAAAAGGCATTAACAAATTTAATTAAAAGATTTTTACAATGAAAAAAATTGAAAAAAATAAATAAATTAAAATGAAATTGAAAAAAAATTATTTCAGCTTATAAAAACCTTCAGGATCACCTGTGACAACGCAGAAAACGTAAAAATGATACTTCACCTGATATCCGTGCCCTCGGAGCCCCTGAAGCTGCGACTGACAACGAGGAACTAGAAAAAAAAATCCTCAACAAAATTTTAACCAAATAATTTTAATAATTCGCTCAATGAATGTACATCAAATAGAAAAAAAAATATACAATTTACGATTGGATGATAATGTCAATTGGTTGAATGATCCTTCGATAAAAAATTCAATTTAGACTGGAAAAAAAAATTATCCACTTAATTGACTGAATAAAATAACTGTAGAGTCCCAGTATTGAATGGATTAATTATTCCCCCAGTTTTTCTCGAATATTCGGAAATTCTCGAAAATTTTCCGATTTCAACCAGTGGTCATGAAACCGTTTTGCCCCGGCAGTTCTTTTGCAATTTACCCTTTAAATTTCAGCACTGAAAAGTCATTTTTGTCGAAATCTCATCAACGAGCGGGGCAAAATGGGCTTGTGACCATTGAATGGAATCGGAAATGTTCCTGACTCTCCAACGAGACCAGAAAATTGTCAATATTTCTTCAAGGTCTCTAGATATCGCGATTTTTCGTCCAGATGAAATAGAAAAATTAATGAGAAAACATAGAATTTGATAAACATTATTGTTGTTGATTATTTTTTATCGAATTGATAATTTCTTCATGATGATACCACGAACATCTTCCAGGAATTCCCTAAAATGTTTTCCAGATGAGAAATCCTTGAAGGAGTGCAGTCTGTCCTCTCTGGATGCTCGAGACGTTAAAAAATATTTGACACAGCAAATTCTAAATTCACTGCATCCATTGGTCCTCGCCCAGTTCCAAGCGCGACTGAGATTACGATGAGATAGTTCGGAGACTGATGTCTCGGTTAGGCTCTCGGACTCATCGAACATGAGGAATTTGTCAGCGAGGAGAACAGCGTCGAGGAGCGCCTCGATTTCCAGTTTTTCGCGGGGTTTTTTCGAGGTCAGGGACAATTTCCCACTGGCTAAGGCACAGAGGACTGAGAGGCCTTCGGTTGACACGTGGTGAAGGCGAACTCTTGTCTGACCTTGAAGATAAAAAAGAGGGGGAATAGTTAGTTGGGGATTAACAAGTCTTGAAGTTATATGAATGGACTCCAGTTGAGTGGTTGAGGGGAATGGGGAAAAATAAATTTGAAATGAATAATTCGAAAAAAAATATTCATGACAGATAATTTTTCCCATGAATTCTGACTTTGATAAGTGAAAGAAATTGATATATCAAATTCTTGGTTCATCTAGGGGTGATGATACCCTTTTATTATGCCCTTTTTCAGTAGTGTATTCGTCAAATCTAAAATTTCCATTTTTTTGTGTGAGGATCACTAATTTTGGTCTAAGGAGTTCGAATATGCTGTTTTTAGATTATGTATGTATGTATATGCCATGCATCGACCCATGAAATATTAATGACTCTCTTTAAAATTGATTATTTCCAAAACTCTGGAAACTCAACCAAATAAATAATAACGAAAAAAAGGAATATTCTACCTTCAATTACATATTGGTTTCACAATTTTTCGTTGATTAGAAGTCATTACATTTTACTTGTATCGAGCGTACTCCACGCTTGGAAAAAAAGGGCCCCGTCCGTGAGGGGTTAAAAAATAGTAATTATCATGATTAATATACGTGAATTCCAATTCTCAAATCTTTACTTTCTGATATCTAATGTAAAACATCGCATCTCTGCACCAGGGATAGCCATATTCATAAATCATAATTACTGTTAAATTTTGAAGCTGTCATTTAGTTAATATCACTCTTAAATTTTCAATTATTTTAGTAATCATAAATTTAAATATTCAAATTCTCAACTATTTTATTAATCAATAATTTAGGTAGGAAGATTGCCGATTATTCGGTCAATTAGTGATTCGCCGATTATTTTGGTTCAACTGGTAATCCCTTTTCAAAAATTAGAATTATTCACTTAATGGAAAATTCACAGTCCCATATTATCAAATATTCAATTCATCATCAATCGCAAATTTAAATTATTAATATCATACTATTTTTACATTGTGATGAGAATATTTAAACCTTTAGCAACGTAAGTCACAAATTCCTTTAATATTGATAAAATTTAATTGGACTAATGTGTGTTCACCTTAGCTACAATAGCATAGGATCATTGACCTTACGAAAAAAAAGAATTACAGAATTAATTATGTTCACATTTCTATTCTTACCAGCTTCGAAGAATCTCCCCTCGAGCATAGCACTGAAGGCCTCGCTCTTGCCACAGAGGACCCTCCTGCAGGCCTCGACAGTGCCCCCGTCGTCCAGCTCGAACACCACAAGATTCTCCTTCCCCCCGTTCTTCCTCCTCTTCTTCTGGTTCCCACCCCCGTCCTCCTCCACCTCCTTACGCTCCCCCACAAGTCCCAGGACGTCGTCAGAGTGGTCCTCAGGCCTGGTCGGCCTGACCCCGAGAGCCTCAGCGAGCTGACACACCGAAAAAATGGCCTTCTCGTTCATCTCGTGGCCTTCGTCGCCCAGAAGCTGGAAGATGAGGTCCAGCCCCCCATACTCTGTCAGCAGAGTCCTCAGTTTGTCCCTGGACTTGAGGAGAAAGGGCACAGAGAGGGCAACCATGAACTTCTGGGGGTCTCGACCCCTCCTGAGGATGGTCGACAGGTCTCCAAAGGCACCACCAGACTCTGCGCTCTGGGAGAAGGTTCTCAGATATTCCTGAGAGTTCCTGAGGGTCTGGACGTCGAAGACGAAGCCCTGGAGCAGCAGGGGCATGAAATACACGTAATTTCTGTGGGGAAAATAATTTTTTTTAAATTTATTAGTTGAGGTACTCGAATTTTTGTAAAGAAAACAGTTCCTTATTCCACTAGAGCCCGATGTAGCACCTGGGATGACTTTCGGGATGTTTTGGGGTGTACTCAAGTGCCTGTGTGGGTTATGAACGGATTTCAGTGAGTGGATTCATCGATATATGAGGGCCAAAGTGAAGTTTTAATTTTTATCATCAACTTTTTTAGGCGAATTATTGAGGGAATTGGGGAGTAGTGGCTATTAGTGGATTGTCTGGGGGGTTTTTATGGGTGAGAGGGGAAGAACGAGGGGGGGATTAGTGAGTGACTCAACTACTCTGGGAACGTATCATCATCACGAGACATCGATAGACAGTCAGAGACAAATACTGTCGATTGATATGTGGTTTATGCAGGGGTTGAGAGATTATTTTGAGGTAGAATGAGTGTTTTTGGGAATTTTCAGAGGGTCTGGGTGGAGAGATTTCCGGACTCTGCACTTCCTGCTGCATGGGAAGAGAATGTGAGGGCGAATTTGATAAAACACAAGCAAAAGGTAATGATGAAGGATGATTAGAGATGATGAGTCTTTGGTTTCTTCTGGTTTGGAATTTTTTTTTGTTTACAGGGGTGCGGATTTTTGGGGGATTTCTTGGGGCTGGGTGAGGGGGAGGGCTGGGGGAGGGCTTCGAAACCATAGATTTTGGAGTTGATTTGGTGCTGGCGTTATTGAGATATTAATTTTTCAAGTTTTGGGGGGGTGATTTTGTTTCTGGGGGGATAGGTATCCATTTCAATTTTCGACTTGAATTATTTTCTTTTTACTTACTCTATGATTCGATTGACAATGGGGAGGGCATCAGTGTTTTTAGAGGCCTCGATGTATGCAGTCAGTGCTTGAATTGTGATGGGATTAGCTAGTCCTTCAACCGGACGCTCCCAAAATGTCAGTCTTGCCAGAAGCTGCAGAGTCCAAGTGTGAAATACACTCATCCCTGTACTCATCACTGGACACTCCTCCTCCTTCTCCACCGGTTGACTCTCATCCTTACCAATACTTGAACACACAAAACTATTCAAAGAATCTATTTCGTCTCTCGTCGCGGTACTCTTCGCGTCCTCGTTCTCAGGGCAGTCCTCAGCCTCGGAGCACACGGGGCTGTAATTCTCCTCGTCGTTGTCATTGCAATCGTAGGAGGGCAGAGGGGGTGAACCTGATGGTGATGATGTGGGGCTGTTGGCACTGCGGGGACTCCATCTGCTCGAGTAAAAATCTAAGCTGAACCTAAAAATAATGAAGCAAGAGTGAATAAAATTTAAAAGCGTTAGGATCGATAAATTCTCTAAATCATCAAAAAAATTGCAATTCAAAAAATCATAGAGAGATGATAAAAGATAATGGAAAGTCATGAAAATGATGGAAATAATGGAGATTATGACACTGATGAGGATCGCAAAAATCATTCCGATCAAATCATGAAAATCAGAAAAATCATGAAAAACAAATAAAATCATTACAATCGTGGGAATTCTGGGATTCATGATGAATTGAAAGAATCTAGATAAATCATAAATCATGAATTTTCTAATTTTTCACGATTTTATGGTTTCCCATGTTTTTCATAATGTTCATATTTTTTAATGTCCTTTCTGATTTTTGTTCCATGATGAATCATGAAAATCATGAGCAGACATGAGAAATCAGGCAAATCACTATAAATTCAGCTATGAAAAATTAAGACTGTGGATATAAGACATCAACATCAACATCAACATAATAAAAAACCATCAAAATAATGAGTCAGAATCATCAAATTCATGATTTGAAAAATCGTCACGACTATTAGAAATCAAGATCATAGCAAAAATCATGAACATTAAAATCTCATATGTCTTGATGAATAAATGAAAATCATCAAGAGTTGCTAAAACCATTAAGATCATAAAAAATCATCTGAATTATTAAGATCATGAAGAATCATCAAAATCACAAAAATCATGCAAAAGCGTTCAGACTAATAACAATCATCGAGCTTATAAAAATCATTACATCATCAAAATCATAAACCGTGAACAATTACCAAAAAATGATAACTTAATGAACAGCCATAAAAACTCACTAAAATCATCGAGATCATGGAGAATCAACAAAATCATGAGTGTCATAAAAAACCGCGAAAATCAAGTCATCAAATTATATAAATCATGATAAATCAACAAAAAATCATGACGAGTCATTAAAACCCTGGAAATCCTGAAAAGCGGTCAAAAGCGTTAACACGAAGAAGAACCATCGAGCTCATAAAAATCATAACACCAAATTACATTAATTATGACAAATCAATGAAAATCATGAAGAGTCATCGAAACCCTAAAAGTCCTAAAGAGCCATCAAAAGCATTAATACGAAAAAGAATCATCGAGTTCATAAAAATCACGCAGAATCCTCAAATTCGTCAAGTCATTAAAAATCATCAAAATAATAAGCCCTAAAAAGGGCCAAAAACCCAGTCTTACCTTCCATTACTCGTCCTATTGACCTTGTTCTCCGTACTCCCCTCCAACGACACGACCTCAGCACCCCTCTTCCTTCCCTTCTCCTCCAGCCTGACATCCAGCACCATCCTGTTCAGCATCCTGACGATGACCCCAACGACCCCGCCCTTGATCATCACCCTGATGCTATTCTCGTCCCCCACGAACTGAGTCAGTGCACACAGCAACACATGATGATGTTTCTCCTTCCCCTCGTCCTCCAGAAGCCCTATCATGACCTCAAGCCCTCCGCAATCCCTGATCTTGGCCCTGTTCACAGCCTCCCTCGAGAAGAGGCACAGGCTCGTGATAACTTCGTAAGTGACTGAGTTCAACGATGACTCTGAGTCAACGGTCTTCAGGAAAGTTATCAAAAAATCAATGGCCCCACAAGTGCCAAGTTCAGGCCGATTCTCAGCCGTTCTCGTGAGTTTATGGAGCAGTTGAATTCCGCTTCTGTGATTGGACGCGCAAAGGTCGACGATGAAATTAAAATTCTTGACGGAGTTAATCTGCTTGGCTATCCTGAGGTCCTGAGGGTCTAGGAGGACCTTGAGGGCCTTGAGGCAGGTCTCCGAGAGGTCCTTGAATTTCGTTTCCGTCGGATCACTGCTGTTATGACTGCTGGAGGTTATCAGGAGGACCATCACCTCCTTTATGAGCTCAGAGTCGATGACTTCGGTCTGGGAGGCCTTGTGACTCTCCCAGATGTTGCGCACCGCTCGCACCGCCATCGAGTGGGTCTGGGGAGTGGAGGGGGACTTTAGGACCGCAAGGAGGGCCGGGAGGACGCCGAGAGCGCACAGAGACTCACTGTGGCGCTTCGAAAGACACATGTTACCGATTAGCCGACAGGCGCGGCAGTGGAGGGTCGGGCCCGGGGGGAGGTTCTGGAGGATCCAGAGGAGGTTCTCCGGGAGTTTTTTGTCTTTTGTCTGAAAAACATTGGGGGGTTTAGTTGTTCACGAGGTGAACGGAGGGAGGGGGAAATTTTTGAGAGTTGGACGTTTTTTTTTGGCTATTCATCATAATTTCCGACCGGTTCAGAAAATCATTATTGTCATCGAAATCATATGATCAGTCAAATACTGGGAATTTACCGCCGGAGCGTCAAAAATGTAAAAAAAAAGGCTCAGAAACCTACTTACAGGGGAGTTAAGCTAAAAAGTCAAAAGGGTCAAAAGTGAGAGGTACGCCGGTCGGACAATCATAAGGATCAAACGATCACGAGGGCCATCCTCGCGAGGGTGAAACGTCGCAAGGGTCGAACAACAGAGGCGATCCTTCAATCTGAAGGGTGAAACTACCAAAAGGGTCAACCGGGGGAGGCAAACGGCACAATCGCAAGGGTCCAACGATCATAAAGTAGAAACAAAAGAAGCAAGTAGGACAATCATAAGAGTCAAACAGGATAACTAGGCCGGGTGATCCTTTGTCATTGTCCTGCTTGCCTGCCTCTCACTTTTGACCCTTGTGATTTTTCAGCTTGCCTCTCCCGCAGGCAGAGCAATGACAAGGGTGGGACGATCATAAATCAAGAGAAATAATCTGAAGGCTATCCCGTTTGGCCCTTGTGGTTGTTTGACCCTTGTGATCATTTGACCTTGCGAGTTATGGTGGTTGTAACGTTTGACCCTCACGAGGTATGACCCTTGTGACTCTGAACAGGGGGCATTCGCAGTGCCGGTGAAAATATCACGCTTTCGCATTATGCCAATGAAGGGCGTCAAATAGGTTTCTGACATGTCAAAAAGTTCGAAAAGTTCCATGTGATTTATCTAGTTCATGGAAATGAAAAAAAGTGCAAAAAAATCAAACTGTTATTATTATGATCTCTGAGCAGGAACTGCTCGGTCGTTGATATTGATATTTTTTTCTGTGGTTCGTGTAAAATTTAATGCGGTTAGCTATGTCTTCATACATAACTGGTTTGGAGATTAACTAGACTAAGTATTAATCGAATCACGAGCCTAACGAAGCTAAAATAATTAGCGAAACGTCGAAAAAACACAATTAGATAAATGTTTTTTTCATTTTTCTCCAATATTCCTTGATATTTTTGAATAATTAACAACAATGGAGATGACCCAGAACATAAAAAATCAAACCTTTTTCGCAAAATCATCAAAAAATCGAGACCCGAATTGTCAATTTTTCCCTAAAAAAAAAATCTCAAAACATTTCTTCCCCAAAATCGACGAACCCCCCCCCCCTCAAAAAAAAGAAGAAATACTGTACAACTCACCTCTTCCCGCACCCAGCTCTTCAGATAAGCATTCGCGAGAATGCTCAATGCATAATCCAGAATCTTGGTGTTCTGCACCCTGAGCACCTCGATGAGTACCTTGAGCCCCCCATTCTTGACGAATCCCTCGAAGACCCTTGATTCCTCCTTGATTCTCTTCAAAATCCCGAGGATTCCTGCCTTATCCCGCGAAGAAATATACCCATCGAGTTCCTTCACAATCGCCCCCTCCCCTTTGCCCCTCCCCCTATCACCCGGTCCCCCCATGACCTCGTGAACCCCCTGGAATCCCCGAAACAGCTCTGCATGAACCGAAAAAGCCCCCAAAACTTGCCGAAACTTCGAGCCAAAAAAAAGGAAAAAATCATTCAAAGAGACATGTGTCAATACCCTTTGTCCTCACCCCAGTGCCACGAAATTTGCTACAGTATGTGCCCCTCGATATTCCGACTATTTTCGAGATAACAGACCCCCCGGGGCCGCTCTCGCGACAGTCAACACGAGTCTCTGTAGAAAGAGAGGATTAAAAACTGAGAATTGATTGCAATAGCGTTAAAAAAGGGTCGTGATGAATTTTGGATGGTAAAATGACATAAAACCCATTACGTACCAGAAATCCTGCATAAACGCACTATACTAGGCACAGCTGATCGATGGGAACCCTAGGGAAGTCACTAGGTGTGTCTGTGTGTGGGAAAAATAGTGGAAATTCCCTAGGGTTTGGGTGGGGTGGGTAAAGAGGGTTTCGCAATTGTTTACGAGTTTTTTGGGGGTTAAAGGGGTGGATTGAGTGGGCGGAGGTACTGTTGGGGGTCGGAGGGCGAATTAGGGTGTGAGTTGATTGAATTTGAGGCAGTGATGGTGGGAAAGTGTTTGACATTGGAGGAAACTGGTGGAAATTGAGAGGGAATACGAAATGATTTTTGGGATCTCTTGGGGTTATGCACAATTGGTAATGAAATTTTCGCTGTTGCCGGTGATTCTTCGTGGGTATCAGAGACGATATACCACCACAAAGCTGACGGGAATCAGCGAGCCTCCCATAGAACCGCCCTTTATCATCAAATCACTCGAATTTTTGTAAAGAAAACAGTTCCTAATTCCACTAGAGCCCGATGTAGGTGTTGAAAAAATTGTTGTGAAAAAATTGTCAAGCACCTGGGATGATTTTCGAGGTGTTTTGGGGTGTACTCAAGTGCCTGTGTGGGTTATGAACGGATTTCAGTGAGTGGATTCATCGATATATGAGGACCAGAGTGAAGTTTCAATTTTTATCATCAACTTTTTTAGGCGAATTATTGAGGGAATTGGGGGGTAGTGGCTATTAGTGGATTGTCTGGGGGGGGGTTTTGTGGGTGAGAGGGGAAGAACGAGGGGGGGATTAGTGAGTGACTCAACTGCTCTGGGAACGTATCATTATCATCACGAGACATCGATAGACAGTCAGAGACAAATACTGTCGATTGATATGTGGTTTATGCAGGGGTTGAGAGAATATTTTGAGGTAGAATGAGTGTTTTTGGGGATTTTCAGAGGGTCTGGGTGGAGAGATTTCCGGACTCTGCACTTCCTGCTGCATGGGAAGAGGATGTGAGGGCGAATTTGATAAAACACAAGCAAAAGGTAATGATGAAGGATGATTAGAGATGATGAGTCTTTGGTTTCTCCTGGTTTGGAATTTTTTTTTTGTTTACAGGGGTGCGGATTTTTGAGGGATTTCTTGGGGCTGGGTGGGGGGGATTTTGAAGGGTCAGGGGTCATTTTGGAGGGTTGGGGGAGAGCTTCGAAACCAGAGGTTTTGGAGTTGATTTGGTGATGGCGTTATTGAAACATTAATTTTTCACGTTTTTGGGGGATGATTTTGTTTCTGGGGGGATAGGTATCAATTTCAATTTTGGACTTGAATTATTTCCCTTTTACTTACTCTATGATTCGACTGAGAATGGGGAGGGCATCAACGGTCTCACAGGCCTCGATTTATGCAGTCAGTGCTTGAATTGTGTCGAGAGGTTTTGGAGTCGTTATTCAGATGTAAATTCTTGAAAATTCTTCGGTGATTTTGGCCCTCGGGGATAATTCTAAAAATTATAGGGCTAGGGGAGAAAATTTCACTCGTCCGACCTCAGCAAATAAATATCAGGATAAATATCCTCCTTTAATTATTTTAGGTTGCAAGCTTGAGGGAAGAACTTGAGAAAGAAAAATTCTACGTGGAGTACCTGGAGAGACTCCTGGCAGATGTAGAGCAGCACAAAAAGCTCGCAGAGAAGTCCGCGGGCTCTCCACCGGCCCCAAAACCTCCGGAATCGCCGGCCCATCAACGACAATCAGAGAGAAATCCACCAGAGCCATCGAAGCCTGAGGAATCTCCCACAGAATCGACAATTCCACCTCTTCCTGTCCGTCAGGACATCAGCAAACTGCAGGACAAATGTGTGTCCGAACTGAGTTCCTCATTGCACTCGTCACGACGTCCAAAATCCGAAATCCCGAAGAGCCCGTCGAAGATATTCGCTAATCCTAGGCGAAACAGTGATCCTGATATTCCTAGCAATTATGTGACTGTTATCGAGGTCACGGGCAACTCAAAACGAGAGAAACTTGAGGAGAATGATGTTAAGGAGGAGCCGGAGAAGGAGGGTCATGAAAAGGTATTTATTTCGATTTTTTGGCCCCATTTTTTTAGATTTTTCCCGGAGAAAAAAATTATTTTTTCAATCAGAAAAGAATTTTTTGGGGTCGAAGGCTACTCTGGTTGATGGCCAGGATATTTTTTATCTTAAGGACAACCAAGTATCATTTACTATAAATTCAACCATTTTCAATCATCAAATTAATCAATTAAATTGCGTGAAAAAAGTTTGAAAAACATCATGAACATTCAGCGTCATTACAATTAAATTTTGCAAATAAATAATTATAATTGTTTAAACTTTCGGAAAGCTAATTTCTTTAGGCATGAAATCGATTTTTAGTTAAAATTCTCAATATGAATGAATTTGTTACAATTCTGAAAAAATGATTTTATGATGGAAAATTGATTGTTTATAAATTATTTATGGAAAATTCTCGTAAATTTTAAAAATTGCAATTTTTTAATTATTCTATCAATTTTTCTCGAGACGTAAATTTTCGAAATTTTTTCCGATTTTTCAAATGATTTCTGACGATTCATTATCGAGATTCAAATTTAGACCTGTAAGGTTTAAATAATAAAATCATTGCAAAATTTCCGGAAACTTGGGGTCAAAGGGGACTCAAATGAAAGCTCTGATCACTGGAGAAAAAATCGCCAAAGTACTTGGATATTCTCAAAACACTGCAAGACAACGTATTTGACTGGAAAAATTACAGAATTATTCAACAATTTTTTTTTTCTGTTTAAAAATCTATAAATAATCATCCAATTTTTCAATTGAAAATTTCACGTAAATATATCCCTGAGCCCTCAATTCTCCATCGAAAAAATCTGTAAAAAAATTGAAGAATACTTTTTTCGAGGCGAAAACGACCCCATTTGCTAGCTAGGATCATTTTTGTTGTCCTCTATTAATTATAAGATTATTTAAAAAAATCAAAAACGATTTTTTTATTTTAAAAAATCTTTTGCAAATATCAATCAATTTTTTCATTTTCAAATTTTGCATAAACATGTCTTTAAATCCTCATTTGTCCCTCGGGAAAATCTAAAAAATCAAAAAGTAATTCTTTGAGGTCGAAAATGACCCCAGTTGATGACCTGAACAATTTTCGTCTTCAAACACTGCAAAACAGCCTATTTTGCTTCATCAGTTCCCGAATAATTAGAAGAACAGTACATTATATTACTAGGCATAAAAACCACTGTCTGATAAATTATTTAACGAACTTTATATAGACACCTTTGTCTGAAAATCCTTCTTAGTCCGCGTCACGTACAAAATTTCAAGTGATGTTAGAATCGGGATCTATGAGACCAAGTCATATAAAACGATTTTCCCATGTGAGCATGACGCGTGACATTTTATGCCGCTGGGAGCGCCACTGAGCGAGAGACCGCGAAAACCGTCACGCACAGCTCATGTACACCTATGTTTTCCGGATTACGGATAAATTTCGTGGTAGCGGTCCTATTTGCAGTCGAACGCGTGTCCAATCATCCCATATTTTACACAAAAAAATCCGTTGTTTAACGAAAACAGTCAGAAGAAATGAAAGAACCAATTCCGCGATGTTCTGCTATCCGACGACTACAAATGTGCGGTCTCGGTCTCAGTGCTGCCACCTGCGTTGACTTTCTCGCGTCGCCATCCAGATTTATGACTCAGAATGCGTCATCCCAGCACCCCCCCCCCCCCCC